TCTTCGGAGCCGTGACAGTCAACACGCCATCGGAAGACATTGCGGAAGTCACGGCCTCCATGTCCACTTTGCCTGGGAAGTTGAAACATCGACAGAAGCTTTTCAAGGACTTGTAGTCGCCTCTTCCTTTTCCACTCGACCTTCCACCCACCTGATTATCTTCCACTCTGACCTTAACGTCACCACTCTTGAAGTCATGGACATCCAGTACAACCTGTATATAGAATCGAGTAGTATTTATTTCTAGTTTTCTGTCTTTCATTTTTATATCAATGAATATCTAAATACTCTTTTTAAACCTAATCTTAATTTTGAAAAGTTTTTAAAACAACTTTCTATTCATGTAAATGAATGTTTAAATTATTTGTTTGCGATCCACATGTATTTTAGATTGTAGAACTTACCTTATGATTCTGGTCGTCTTCGCTGAAGGCCATGACTTGGTCCTCCTGCTGCAAATTGCGGTCTCTTACACGTCTGTAGCTACTCATCAGATCACTCACGGATTTGGTTTCTCCCCAAGTGTCCAGCATTTGGTCGATGGCTGTCTCAAAGTGCTTCCGAATATCCTCGAAGAAGGAATCGTGGAAGAAAAGTCCCTTCTCAGCAATGGGGAGAAGTGAATCCTCTTTGCATTTGGGAGCTTCTAGTTTCTGTTCAGCAAGGGAGGTAGTATTTTTGTTCTCCATATTTCTCTTTCGTTTATCGTTTCAATATGGTAGAGTAAGACTCGTGGAAATGCAGATAAAGCTACAGCTTGCTTTGTTCTCTCACCGAGTGTTGTTTCCGTTGTGTCTGGCGAGAGGCGGCTGCTGAGGCTTTTATGTGGCGCGAGTTGGGTGTGCGCCCACTTTCCACCTCCTTCTGGACGCATCACTATGGCACGCTTGGCATCATCCTGATTCGAAATTTGTGAAACTTCTAGTTTTCAACTTAGCTGAAATTATTGCTTTCGGTGAAACCTTGCGAAAAATGCCTAAATAGTAATTATTCTTACAGATATTTTCCATCATCTGTATGATCACTATTTATATAGAGAGACAAAAGAACACATACGCGCACTAACATACACACACACGCGCGCACGCACAGAAACATATACTTTTAAATACACACACACACACACACACACACACACACACACACACACACACACACACACACACACACATATATATATATATATAGAGATATACATATATATGTAGATTTTGAATACAAATAAGCACATACATACGCATACACAAATACATAAGGTGCATTTTCGACGAGAAACGCGAGCAAGCCATGGTTTGGTTTGGTTTGCTTCGCCTTGCCGAATTCGTCAAAAACAGACCCTGCATCCAGCTTGCTATCAATGTAAACAAACGTCCGCAATACGAGATATGAGTGACGTAATAATTCGCAGAAGAAAACAGAGTGGTCTTTGTTAGTAATTCTAGTGAAATTACCGAAGAAGAAATCCTTTCATGTCGTGGTTTTGCATTAAATGAAGATTAACGAAATAAGAACTTCAAAATATCATCTATATATATTCTTTCGCACAAAAGTAATGAAAAAAGAAAATAAATCATCCACGCACTTTATAACATGGGTAAATAAAAGCGCACTTCGAACATTCCAGGATAGGTATAATGCAGTTATAAATAGCTAGTACTTTTCTTCTTGAGAATAATAAAGCTATCAATATACTGCATTTAATACTTCTGGCAGATAAACAAATTGCTTGTATATAGCATCTATTGCCGACAAAATAAGTAAATTATCACGAGAATTCCATCGTTATCATTCATTTCTGTCGGCCATGTTGACGTTATGACGTCCTGAAAGTGAGAAAACTTCCTCTGCAGGAAGTTAGAAAGAGCTTGGTTTGGTTACGAAACCAGACCAAGATATCTGACCAAGAAGGAAGTTCAAGACTTTTCAAGAAATCTTGAATTATCTTGCGGTCAAAAATGGGCCTCTACATACACAAACCTACTTTGTGTGTATGGGTGTGAGGACAATGTAAGCCTACAAATATGTATATGTACAAACGCGCGCGCACAGAAACACATACATATGCATATATATAGAGACAGAAGATAGAAAGAGGATTATAACATACCATTTATATGAATTTGAATTTGCATGTGTGTATATATTTAAAGTACTTCCTGCCTAGGAAACCATCTGTTATCTAAACAGTTTCGCGGAAAGGGAAGGCAAGTAAAGTCAGACATGTAAACAAATACAATTTATTTACAAAAGAACAAAAGCATTATCCATTTTAACATTATCAAAAATAACAATAAATTCCTTAAACATACATTGTCTCTAAGATTAGATGATAGTTTCAGTTAATGAAATGTTTTCTTATGCTGCCTGTGGAATCTTTGGAGCCGTGACAGTCAACACGCCATCGGAAGACACTGCGGAAGTCACGGCCTCCATGTCCACTTTGCCTGGGAAGTTGAAACGTCGACAGAAGCTTTTCAAGGACTTGTAGTCGCCCTCTTCCTTTTCCACTCGACCTTCCACCACCACCTGATTATCTTCCACTCTGACCTTAACGTCTCCACTCTTGAAGTCATGAACATCTAGTACAACCTGTTTATAGAATCGAGTAGTATTTATTTAGCTTTTTGTCTTCCATTTTTATATTAATGAATATTCAAATACTCTGTTTGCTTGACCTATATGGTTTTATTAAAGCTAATTTTCAATTTGAAAAGTTTTTGAAACAACTTTCTATTTATGTAGATGAATTAAATCAGTGCATTTGCGATTCACGTAAATTTTAGATTGTAGAACTAACCTTATGATTGTGGTCGTCTTCGCTGAAGGCCATGACTTGGTTCTCCTGCTGCAAATTGCGGTCTCTTACACGTCTGTAGCTATTCATCAGATCACTCACGGATTTGGCTTCTCCCCAAGTGTCCAGCATTTGGTCGATGGCTGTCTCAAAGTGCTTCCGAATATCCTCGAAGAAGGAATCGTGAAGAAAAGTCCCTTCTCAGCATGGGGAGAAGCGAATCCTTTTTGCATTCGGGAGCCTCTGTTTCTGTTCAGGAAGGGCGTCAGTATTTTTCTCCATTTTCTCTATTGTTTAGCGCTTCAATAAGGTAGAGTAAAACGTGAAAATGTAGATAAAGCTACAGCTTGCTTTGTTCTCTCTCCGAGTGTTGTTTCTGTTGTGTCTAGCGAGAGGCGGCTGCTGAGGCTTTTATGTGGCGCGAGTTGGGTGTGCGTTCTTCTGGACGCGGATATGGCACATTGGCAACATCTTCATTTGAAATCTCGTGAAACTTCTAGTTCTCAACTTAGCTAAATTATTGCTTTCGGTGAAACTTGCGAAAAATGCTAAATAGTAATTTTTATGATCATATTTATATAGAGAGACACATACGCACTAACATAGACGCACACACATATACTCATATATATATACACATATATAGAGATATGCATATATATGCAAATAGCACATACATACGCACACACAAAACATAAGGCGCACTTTTGACGAGAAACGCGAGCAAGCCATGGTTTGGTTTGGTTTGCTTCACCTTGCCGAATTCGTCAAAACAGACCCAACTTCCAGCTTGCTATCAATGTAAACAAACGTTCGCAATGCGAGATGGTGAGTGACAGAATTATTCGCAGAAGAGAACAGTGGATGCTGTTAGTAATGTTAGTGATATTACCGACGAAATCTTTTTCTGTCGTGGTTTTACATTTACTGAAGAAGATAAACAAATTTCATAATATCTTATACATATTGCATAGCACAAAAGTTCTGAAAAGAAAAAGAAATAATCGTCCACACACTTTATAGCAAATCTAAAAGGATAATATCTACCATTCATAACAAAGATGGGTCTTTCAACTGGGAGTTTAGAATGGAAATAACATCGGTAAATAAAAACACACTTTGTATTATGGTTTTCCCAGGAAAGCCATAATGCAGTTATAAATAGCTTGTACTTCTGGTAGATAAAACAATTTGCTAGTATATATCATCATCTATTGGCGACAAAATAAGTAAATTATCACGAGAATTTCATCGTTGTCATTCATTTCCGTCGGTCACGTTGTCGTTTTGTTTACTGTTGTGACGTCATGAAAGTGTAGCAGACTTCCTTTGTAGGAAGTTTGAAAATGTTTGGTTACGAAACCAGACCAAGATATCTGACAAGAAGGATGTTTCAAGAATTTTCAAAATTCTTGAATCATCATACGGTCAGAAATGCGCCTGAACATACACAATCATACATGGTGTGTATTGGTGTGAGGACAATATAAGTGTACATATATGCACATTTAAAGAGATAGAAAGATGATTATAACATACCATATGTATATGTGTGTATACATTTCAAGTACTTCCTACTTAGGTAACCATCTGTTATCAAAACAGTTTCGCGAAAAGGGAAGGCATGTAAAGTTGTATATGTAGGAGTATTTATTCTTCCATTTTTTTCCCTTTCAACTCTAATTCTAATTATAATCTAAATAATCTATTTGCATTGCTTAGATAATTACGTCTTATGTGTGTGTGTGTACATATATATGTGCTTATTTGTATTCAAGATCTACATATATATGTATATCTCTGTATGGGTGTATGTGTATATATGTATGTATTTATGTATATATTTATATATTTAAAAGTATATATATATATATATATATATATATATATATATATATATATATACATATATATTTATATATATATGTGCGTGTGCGCGTGTGTGTGTATATGTTAGTGAGCGTATGTGTTCTTTTGTCTCTCAGTATAAATAATGACCATACAGATGATGGAAAAAATTTCGCAAGGTTTTGCCGAAAAAAAAATTTTCAGCTAAGTTCAAAACAAGAAGTTTCACGAGATTTCGAATGAAGACGTGCCAAGCATGCCATGATCCCGCGTCCAAAAGGAGGTGAGAAGTGGGCGCACACCCAACTCGCGCCACATAAAAGCCTCAGCAGCCGCCTCTCGCCAGACACAACAGAAACAACACTCGGAGAGAGAACAAAGCAAGCTATAGCTTTATCTACATTTTCACGTTTTTACTCTACCTTACTGAAGCGCTAAACAATAGAGAAAAATGGAGAACAAAGGTACTGATGCCCTTGCTGAACAGAAACCAGAAGCTCCCAAATGCAAAGAGGATTCACTTCTCCCAATCGCTGAGAAGGGACTTTTCTTCGACGATTCCTTCTTCGAGGATATTCGGAAGCACTTTGAGACAGCCATCGACCAAATGCTGGATTCGTGGGGAGAAGCTAAATCCGTGAGTGATCTGATGAGTAGCTACAGACGTGTAAGAAACCGCAATTTGCAGCAGGAGAACCAAGTCATGGCCTTCAGCGAGGACGACCAGAATCATAAGGTTAGTTCTACAATCTGAAATCCGTGTGGATCACACACTTATTTTGATATTCATTTAATGAATAAAAGAAAGAAGTTACAGAAACTATTCAAATTAAATTTTCTTCAGTAATTATCTAAGTAACGCAAATAGATTATTTAGATTTTAATTATAATTAGTGGAAAGGGAAAAACTACAAAAATACTCTTACTCGATATTATATACAGGTTGTACTAGATGTTCATGACTTCAAGAGTGGAGACGTTAAGGTCAGAGTGGAAGATAATCAGGTGGTGGTGGAAGGTCGAGTGGAAAAGGAAGAGGGCGACTTCAAGTCCATGAAAAGCTTCTGTCGACGTTTCAACTTCCCAGGCAAAGTGGACATGGAGGCCGTGACTTCCGCAATGTCTTCCGATGGCGTGTTGACTGTCACGGCTCCAAATATTCCACAGGCAGCATAAGAATGCATATTTCATTAACTGTGATTGTAATCTAATCTTAAAGACAAAGTATGTTTAACTAATTATTTTTGATAATGTTAAAATGAATAAGACACTTTTTAAAAATAAATTTTATTTGTTTATATGTGTTTGACTTCCTTTTCGAAAAAAAAACGACTGTCGCACAGATTGCATAACAGATTGATCTTCGAAACTCTCTAATAAAAATTACAGTAACAAATGCAAAGAGAAATCACTACTTCCAACTGTTGTGACCTGTGGTTCCATCATTATTTTTTAAAAAGAAACGTAAAAATTAATAATGGTCTACCGAGCTGTCGCAATGATTGCATAACTGATGGATCTTCGAAAATCTCGAGGAAAATACCTTTACCAAATGCAAAGATGATTCACTATTTGCAACTGTTGTGACCTGTGCCTTTATGTCCCTTGTGTCAACGTAAGCCCCGAGTGCCGAGGGCGGAGGGTGCCTCCTGTCCTGTGACTGCCCTTTCTGTCTGCTAGGTCTGGTCTGCCTCTCATGCCCCCCGGTCTCCCTGACGAGACGGTTATATCCAGCGACTCCTTGTCCTGCTGCTGGGTGCCAGCTTCTAATTTGTGGGGTGTCCGTGCTTCCGGCGGACTTGCTCGAGGCGGAAAAAGTTATTTGGGCAAGCAGGGCTCAGGCGTGGTACCTCGATGCACGGAAGGAAGGCAGCTGTTAGGGCCAAGGTGCAAGGCAAACCCATCCGGTTTCCATATCGTTGACACAATGATATAAACGATGGCCATAAAATTCACGGGCAGCATGAGAAAGCATATTTCATTAGCCGAAATGATCTAAAAGACAATGTATGTTAAATTAGCTCATTATTGTTATTTTGGATAAAGTTACAGTAAATGTATATATTTTCATAATAGATTAGTTTTGTTTGCCTTCCCTTTTCGCCAACTTATTGGAACACAATCGATTGTCTATTGCAGCATAGTTTTCATAATAGATGGCTCTTCGAAACTTGAAGAAATTAAAGTACCAAACGCAAATAGGGTTCACTTCCGTTTGGTATGACCTGTGGTTCCATGATTATTTTTCAGTGAAATGAATCAAAATTGAGTGTGTGTATATACATAAATGAATAAGTTGATACATAGATAAACAGACACACACATATATGTATGTCTCCGTGTCCGTGTGTGTGTGTGTGTGTGTGTGTGTTTGTGTCCCTATGAGACTTTATATTTATATATATACATATATATATGTACACACACACCCATATATATATATATATATATATATATATATATATATATATATATATATATATATATATATATGTATGTATGTATGTATGTATATATGCACACACATGTATGTATTTGTAAATAAACATAGTGTATATATACATATATTGCCCTTATACACACACAAAGTATGTTTGAGTGTGTGTTGGTATGTAATATTTACAAATATATACATACATATGTGTGCGTGTGTATATTGCTGTTGTGTCTCTAAATGATGCCCTTATAGGTGGTGGAATATACCACTTGAAAGGTCCAGTAATGAAGCATTTATCGCATGATTGTATCACATGGATTCATCTTAGATTGAGAACTAGAAATTTCACGAGATTTCGATTGAAGATGTTGCCAAGCATGCCATGATCCCGCGTCCAAATGGAGGTGGGAAGTGGGCGCACACCCAACTCGCGCCACATAAAAGCCTCAGCAGCCGCCCTTTGCCACACACAACAGAACCAACGCTCTTTGAGAAAAGAAAGCAAGCTGTAGCTTTACATCACCGCAAGACGTACTCAATCTTACTAAAGTGATAAACGATAGAGAAATATGGAGAACAAAAATACTAACGCCCTTGCTGAACAGAAACCAGAAGCTCCCGAATGCAAAGAGGATTCACTTCTCCCAATCGCTGAGAAGGGACTTTTCTTCCACGATTCCTTCTTCGAGGATATTCGGAAGCACTTTGAGACAGCCATCGACCAAATGCTGGATTCTTGGGGAGAAGCCAAATCCGTGAGTGATCTGATGAGTAGCTACAGACGTGTAAGAGACCGCAATTTGCAGCAGGAGAACCAAGTCATGGCCTTCAGCGAAGACGACCAGAATCATAAGGTTAGTTTTACAATCTAGTTTATGTGGATAAAAAAAACATTGAATTAGATATTCATTTACATGAATAGATTTTTTTTAAAATTAAAGATTATATATATAAAAGATCTAGGTCACGCAAACAGAGTATTTAGATAATCATGAAGATTAAAAAAGGAAAAAAAAAAAGAAATATTCTTACTCGATTCTATATACAGGTAGTACTGGATGTTCATGACTTCAAGAGTGGAGACGTTAAGGTCAGAGTGGAAGATAATCAGGTGGTGGTGGAAGGTCGAGTGGAAAAGGAAGAGGGCGACTTCAAGTCCATGAAAAGCTTCTGTCGACGTTTCAACTTCCCAGGCAAAGTGGACATGGAGGCCGTGACTTCCGCAATGTCTTCCGATGGCGTGTTGACTGTCACGGCTCCGAAGATTCCACAGGCAGCATAAGAAAACATTTCATTAACTAAAACTATCATCTAATCTTAAAGACAATGTATGTTTAAGGAACTATTTATTGTTATTTTTTATAATGTTAAAATGGATAATGCTTTTGCTCTTTTGTAAATAAATTGTATTTGTTTACATGTCTGACTTTACTTGCCTTCCCTTTCCGCGAAACTGTTTGGATAACAAATGGTTACCTAGGCAGGAAGTACGTGAAATATATTCACACATATACATATGGTATGTTATAATCATCTTTCTATCTTTCTGCCTCATTATATATGCATATTTATGTGTTTGTGCGCGCGCATGTTTGTACACACCCAAATTTGTATGCTTACATTGTCCTCACACCCATACACACAAAGTATATTTGTGTATGTAGAGGCGCATTTTTGACCGCAAGATAATTCAAGATTTCTTGAAAAGT